GAGGCAGGCAAATGAAAATTCGACCATAGATGTGTTTGCCAACAGTGAAAGATTGTGATACGGTTTACAATCTACACATGGTTACCAAATGGTTTCAAATAAGAGGTTCTAGAGATCGGGGCCGAGTTTTTTAATAAGCAAATCAGTGTTTTGTTGCATCAAAATAATGGTTTCTGCCTCGAAATGCACTCACTTTTCCTAGTATAGATAACACCTTGTTGGAATGGTCTCAAGGAGTCGAAATCGTAACCTAATAGAATATCTTGGGTACTTTTTGGAGGGTACTAGATAAGTTATATCAGATGTATGTCGAAACGTGGTTGAAGGCACGCCTTACAGAATGTCATTGGTTATTTAGGCTAAAGATGTATTGGGACAGTATATCCTTAGTCTAAATTTTGAACGTATGTCTTTGTTCTATTTTGGAGAGGCTGTCATAGTCAAACGTAAACGGATAATAGTGATGTCATTAACGAACTGTAAACTCATGATTAAAAAAAAAGCATTAAACCATATATTGATGGTCGAGGTTTAGAAAAAGAATTCTCTGAAGTAAAATATTTTTCACAAAACAACAACAACAACAACAACAAATTAGCTTCATTTCTTTTCCTAATGAGTATTAGGGGTCACAATTTAAAACCCAAAATCTGTATATCTCGGACTTTTTTGTTTTTGTGAACACCTTAAAAACTTAAGAGGGGAACTGATGGTTTCCTGAAATAGAGAACGGAGAATTTAAATTTTTCCACCGTAGTTGTACAAAGACAGCACTGAAGGACCAAATGATCCCTTGTTGTAGAATATGTTATGTTTCTCTTTGTTTCATCCAGAAAATGAAGACAAAATGATAATCTAGATAATGTTTTAAAAATTGCTGATTACGTATGGAAAGAAATTAAGTTGAAATTTTTCTAAAATCAGGCTAGAGCATGATAATAAAAATGATTTCTAAGATCTTTTCTTTCTTTCTTTTTTACAAATGCTCTATGAATCTCAACCTAAATATATTCATTTAAAAACGTGGTGTTTGAAATTAATTTCTTATATGTTTATAACGTTTCTGAAGATAATATCATTATCAATCTAGATGTCATTATTATTCGCGGGCACGTTCATGGTCAGCAAGCAAATGACCACGTCCTATTTATAGACTTCTATTTTTCACCTTTTTATAAAAATCATAGAAATAAATATAAAGAAATGTATAGATAGCTTGTATTAGACAAAGTGGTAATTATACCCTTATATTTTAGATGGATATTAGTAAATAATTTTAGTGTATAGATAAAAAATACATTGCATGTTTAATCTATTCTTGAAAGGTTCAGTAAGTGAACTTGAAAAAGAACAAAGATCGTAAATAATGATTAGAAAAGAAAGTAGAAAATTGAAGAAGAGATAAACTGTTAAATGTAACTGTAATTACATTTCGTTATGTGCTGTATTTAAATACATAGATATAATCTGCTTATTTGTAGCTACACAATGAGCTATCTGTGCTGTGATCAGCGCAGGTATCGAAACCCGAATTTAGCGTGATAAGGCCCTCGGAATTGCCGCTGAGCTATCGAGGGGCAATAAACATAATAGTTGTAATGTACATAAAATTAGTTTTGTTATTAGTTTATCAAATTTTATTGTAATATATAGTTTAATTTTTATCTCTTAAAATTAAGGCGCATTTACACTTAAGGTGCGTGCTAAACGTTTAATTCTGATACTTGATAGCGAGGAACCCACTTTTTAGAAAATAAATGTTTTTAGACGGCTTGATTGGGTAATGAAAAAACTTTATTATAAATGTATGACGTTTCTACAAGATTTTGTCATCCTCAGTTCTGATAATTCTCTATAGGTGGTGGTATTCACGTTCAATTGTATTAACCCATAGGAACCAAAACACAAGCAGATAGTGCACTAAATTCACAAAGGAAGAACATTGATGTCAAATAGATTTTTTTGCTAATGATGTATTTTCACCTTAACTGACATTTACTTATTACAAATTGAGATAATCTTCACAAGTAACAAGAATCACTTAATTTATGATCATTAGATCACTAAATTAAAAAGTATAGATCATAGGTTCGGTATTTGAATGTAAATTTCGTCTGACTTGCATTAGAAAAGATATATATATATATTTATTTTATATTGTATAATATTGGAAACGTTTTTATAATTTCATTAGTTTTCGTGAAAGCAAATAGACCATAACATTTCAAAGATGTAACTAAGAGAAATGCTAGGTTGCACTGTAAAGCTAAAATTCAACAGGTTAACTGCGATTAAAGAGATGACTTTTTAATTTTTACGACAAGCAAATAACTTTTTCTTTAGACTCTTGGAGAAGTAAGAAAAGGTATGTGCGTGTTTTGTTTCAGTGCAGAGTTATACAATAGGCCGCCTGTGCTCTGTCTACCGGGAATTGAACCTCGGATGTTATAATATTTCACAGTATACACTTTCTTCGAGTACAACTTCATTTGCACATAGACGAATACTCCTACTGACCACCCGTCGTAAATTTTCGAGATCTGTGATACGTATTTGTGTTTTTCTGTTAGTTTTGTTAATATTTATTTATTATTTTTTCAGAATCTTCTTGTAAGATATATCTGTACTCTCTTGACCAGATTCAAAGTAGCTTGGCAAAGAAAATCAAAAATGTGTAGAAAAAATAATGAAGGGTAAGATAAATGTTTTTATATAAAAAGTGAAAGAAACGTGTGTACATATATATCTAACAAAACACAAATTTTGTTTTGTTACTTGTATCAACAAGTAAAATGTATTTGTGTTTTGGTTAAATCTCTCTATCTATAGTGTACAATTCAAACAATGTTGAATAAATCTTCCCTATAGAAGTTCATATATAATTTTCTGATAACAAAAATGCTGGTACACAATTACACGTTCAAAACTATTCTATAAAAGTTTTTTATATGTCCTAATCGAATTGTGTAGATTCTTCAAAGAAATATTTATAAAAGTTCTATAGAAACTTTTTATGATTTTTATATAATTCTTTATTGATGTTTCTAATTCTTTGGAGCACGTTCTATAGAGGAATATAGAAAAGTAGCCCATTTTCTATAGAAGTTTTAAATAAATTATTTAAGCCTTCTGATAAAAATGATTTTAGATTTTCTACACAAATTTCTTTGTTGTTTCTATAGAATTGTTTTTATAGAACGATTATAAAACATTTTGATAAGGGTAAGTAGCTCGAATTAAATGGCATTGCCTTCAAGTAAATGAATGGCTGATGAAGAAGAGCACGTGAATAGTTTTTTTGTCAAACGCAAAATTCATATTTGGTAGATTATAACAAATAAATTCATCGAAGTCCGTATGTAACATTCATAATTTTTCTTTTTTTAAGTGATTTACCTTGTAAATAAGGTTTGAACAATACATAAAGAACAAAATAATGACAGATTTATAAAATATTTAAGAATGTAAAACATTATTTAACTTTCACTTCAAACTTGGTACACTATAAAGATTATTTTAATTTAATATTTAATTTTTAACTGATTTTTAATGATGTCTACAAATGACGTAGCGCCATGATGTAGAAGCAAGAAATAGTTTATATATATATATACATAAAACATTATGAAAAATAGTCATTAGTGAAATGCACCTAAGCTCGCAGTAAAGTGGCAAACTTCAACAAAGCTTTCGATATTTTTATACTGCTTACTCAGTTTCTAGGAAGAAAATAGTAGGATAAATAATTTAAATTAAAAATATTCGTTAATTAGCTCAAACCAAAAACACTAATATAAAATAATTTACAAAAACGTCGGATCCCCCGATGGCACAGCGGTAAGTCTTCGGATTTACAAAGCTAAAATCAGGGGGTTCGACTTCCCCTCGGTGGACACAGCAGATAACCCTATATGGCTTTGCTTATCACAAAACACACACACACACACAACACAAACGTAGGATGTGGTTTGGTTAGTACTCCCAAACGTTTTGTTAAGTGTGTAAAATAATTTATACTAGTAGAGAACCGCAAAACATTTGCGGTCAAATTAGTATCTTTATTGCAACTGTGCTTCTTTAAATACGGGATTTCTAGAATAATACAAAATAATTCTACTGGTAGACACTCCACTTGTCTTAGGCCTAACATTAGTTAAGCCTTTATTAATTATGACCCATATTCGATAAAGAGATAAATAACACCGTAACTTGTGTACGTTTTTTGCCTTAGTTTAGTTAGGGCTAAACTTTACCGTACTTTATACTACCGATAAATAAACTTATAATGCTTTTTTACGACCTAACGCTAGACCTTTTTAAAAACTGTGATAATATTTTAATATGTTGTTGCAAAAAACGTCTACTAAAGTATATTTACATTTGTCTTTTGTTTACATTTGTTGAAATAAGGTGCTCGCACAAGCGTATTTAGATAGTAAGGCGCATTTTCAGGATAGACAAAAACTGAGTATTATTATAATGTATGATGAAATAAGACGAAATTGGATGTTTAAATTGAAACATTAAATATAAAAAATTCTAGGCTCATAGCCACTGATTACTTCAAAATTTAAGTGAATGTGGTATTAATTCGAAGAACTAACATTTCCAAATATCTACAACTTAAAATATTTGTTGAAGACATTTGAGTCCAAAACTGTATGTCAAGAAGCTATTTTAGGATCTGAATACGTTAGAAACATTATTTTGACACTTTATGTTAATTAATCAGTGATAAAGATATTACATTTTTACATAATTAACTTGCTCTTTGAAATGATTTTATTTAAGACCAATATTTTATCGAAGTCGCTCAATATGGACGCAAACAAACAAATATTTTATTTAACGACATATTCGAATGAACAATATGCATGCATTTTTAAGTTAGAAAATGTTTTTTTTTTAACACTGGGTCAAATTTATTCGGCGAAAACAATATTAATATTTTTAAGGCCTTTTATTTTTCTATTTAGTTAATTAAAATTAACTAAACTTACGGCTCTTGGAGCGATACTGTTGGACCTGACATCTGGTGGCAACGCAACGGAGGACACTTTCGAAGCACAAACAGTCGTCGTCGTTGCGGCACGGGTTGGTTTCCACATTCTTACAGGTATCCTACAAGAAGTTAGAAGAAACAAAACAGAAACACGTTAGACGTTTTCTCGTTGACCTGAAAACATCCATTAGATATGATAACAACTTTCAAGTCACTTATTTTCTGATAATTGTTTTTCGGGCTATGTTTTGACGCGACACCTTGTTTGGAATCAAAATAGAATACATGGCAAGCATCACTTCCAAACTGGTACTCTGGTTAGTTGATTTGGATAGACTATAATTCATAAATGATGCATAATTATTTAATAATTCATTTCTTAACAAACTTGCTTGGAAATTTCAAATTATCAGAGAATTAGATGCTTTATTATGACGCTGAGAATGTTTACTAAAGTAAATTATTTTTTACAAAGGCACAGGAAAGGTTCTACCCGTCTATACCATGAAAAGTTTAGACAATATTAAACATATAGAATAAGCTACATAAAAAGATGATGTAGAAAATAGATTGTACGAAGACGAGAAAATGACTTAGAAAACTAATAATCGGGAACTTGGGGTAGAAAGAAAGCATTACTTTAAGATGGGAGAAAATTAGGCCATGCAATATGATAGCAGTAATATTCAATCGTTTCTTTTGAAGTTGAATGCGCTTGGTTTTACAGAATAACTGTTAAGTTGAACGTGCATAAAATATCAAGACAAGAGCACAAAAGTTACTATTGTGTTACGGCTACACACAGCACAAGACTTGCTATGAAGTTAGTATCTGACAATAATAATACAGACAAGAATTATCACGGCTAAAAGTGACGTGCTCAGAAGACTAGACATAAATAGTAAGCATTATAATATTTGCGTTCATTTTTTACCATCTTATCAAGAATATCAGATTTTAATAATATCTAACATTTTAGATAGTCTAGGAAAGGCGTATACTTTTATGTTTTACAATAAAGCTATAGTTTAAGTTTTCTTAACTAGCTGAATTTTTAGTATGATATGATAATTCTTGTTCGAAGTGAAATACGAGTAGAAAACATATGATGTTAGGTCTTTCACTATTATAAAATATTTTTTACATTTTTACCAAAATAATTATCCAAAGGGATGTGAGACCCAGTAAAAACATTCAGGAGGAAAATGATTGATTAATAGCGTATTGAGAGTGTGAAACTCTTTTTGAACTCTTTCCTATTTTGTGTAAATCATAATAAAACAGGCTTAGCACTCGTATGTATTTTTTGTATCTGTTTCTGTTACTATTCTTTGAATTTTTCATGTAGATAACACCTATAATGTTGCAGCGTTTTTAAAATGCTAAGTATGAGAGTAAATGTGGCCGATGTTTGGTTTCCATGACCTTAATCAGGACTTTTTTTTTCCTCAAAAAATAATGACAAAACAAACAAACAGGGATCTCTTTGTATTTTATCCTAATGAAGGTATTTTTTTTTGTCAATTTCGTGAAATTTACAAAAATTCATAACCTACGTAAAACATAACTTTCCTAGAGTAGGGTATATTAAAAAACTTAAAATTAATTGACACATATTATAATAAACTCTGGAATTTAGTAAGATCGTAAACTTATCACTGACTCGCTAGGGGACTTTGTGGCTGTCAAAGAAAGAAAAAACATCAACAATATTTACTACAGTTAGTAGCTGACTTAGACATTTTTACAAATAGGACAAAACAGAATATCCAACGCTCATAAATACCAATGAACATAGATTTAAAATATGTTTTTATATTTTATTTTTCTAAATTTTTTAATGCATTTTTTAGATTTTTTAATTAGTAGTGCAAAGCTACACAATAGGTTATTTGAACCCTATCCAACAAGGGAATCGATCCTCGGTTTTGTAGCATCGTAATGATGTAAACTTACCGCTACATCAGGGAACTTTTAAGAAAGAATATGACGTTTAAAAGTATTATTTTCTAAAATAAAGAAAATAACAAAATATCCCATTATTATCAAATACCGAGTGAAAAAGCAAAAATATCATGCAAGGTGTGAAAAGGGTAATAAACATTAATGTTTTAAAAATTGCATCTTTTTCCATCCTAATGCTCTTTTCAATTGTTCCATATTTATAAGGTATGTCATTCAAGCAGTAAAGAGGTTGTAACTAGACAGTTCTCAGAAAATTCTTCCCATAAGTTAGACTAACGTGACACTTTTATCCAATATTAATGGTTCAACGTTTTTTCACCAGGAGTAAAATATCCAGAATTTGAATTTTGTCATGCAATGCTAATTTAGACCTCGCCCAAATGAGGATCTGAAATATTCTTTGTTTTGTCTTAATTGTAATATAATGTAGTAATACACAACGTAATGTTTTGCAATGTTTTCAGTAGAAACCTGCTTATTGTCTTTCAAAATGATAAATGTTTTGTGAAATATCAATCACTTTATATTGAAAAATAGATGGACTGAATGAAAAAACAAAACATATATCAGATAAGCCAAGCCTTGTTTGAATTGTACTTACTCTGGCTGCGTTAAAAAAAAAAAGACAGTAAATTAAATATCATTATTATAACAACAGCTAATTTCAACTCACTTTGACCTCTATTACTATATTCTTTACAATTATAAGAGTAACTAATTTCAACCCACTTTGACTTATATTACTACACCCCTGAGAGTTATAACAACAACTAATTTCAACTCACTTTGACCTCTATTACTATATCCTTTACAATTATAAGAGTAACTAATTTCAACTCACTTTGACTTATATTACTACATCCCTGAGAGTTATAACAACAGCTAATTTCAGCTCACTTTGACTTATATTACTACGTCTCTGACAGTTATATCAACTAATTTAAACTAATGTTGACCTGTATTACTAAATCTCTGACAGTCATAATAACAACTAATTTTAACTCACTTTGCCCTCTATTACTACATCATGTATCAATTAAAGGGTTTCTTAAAATCATTACACAAAGCGTTGAGGAATTAAATGTCATTAAACTAAGTAAGTATGTAATAACGTTGTCGGCGAGTTTAATATTCAAAATAAGTTTTACGCCAGGGGTTCGTTAAATCATGTTGCGAAAGAGAACCTAGCGGCTCAAACAATAAGAAATTTCACGTGTGTACACATACGCATGTCTTTTTTCTTTATCATATAGAGCATTATTGTTTATAAAGCTGTCAACTAAAGTATCTAATGAAACTACAGATACATGGATGAAAAAAAATTTAAAATTTAAAATTGAAGCAACATACGTGTATGCTAAATATAGGTTTATAATTGAGTTATATTAATATAAATGAATGTGCATAGTCGGGTGTTTCTGAACAGTAACATGAAAAATGTGTATCATGTACAAAAAATCGAATGAAAGCAGTTATTATGCAATGTTAAAACACGTAAAAGAACAGCAGTTATCCGAAATGTAAAAACAAATATAAGTAGAATCGAACCTTGGGATGGTATTATTCGATTATGTTAATACAGTAGACGAATAATCCGAACAATGGAGTAAAAATGGGATCGAATGCTCTATTTCACATGCCAGCAGGTCTATTATACAGAAAAGTTGAATGTGCAGGTTTTTCTTCGTATCTTCGTTTTATCCTCTCAAGCTAGATGTTCATTATCTATTATTCAATTTAACACAGCTGAAAAATTTCTTTATGCGAGGCGCTCATTTATTGGCTTTCTATTGCACGATAATGGCTTACAAAGAGACCGGATTACATTACAGGATGTACTAAATACTAATAGTGATCATTGTGTAATTGGTTGTTTCTTGTACTTCTTTGTGTATATGTGAATGAGATACTTAAAATGAGATTATTCGAGCAAAAATATTCTAGTTGATATAACTTATTCAATTATTAGCACTGAATTTCAATCTCTGTTAAGGTATCGTCTTGCTACCAAAACTTTTATTATTTCAATACATATTTTCATCTGATATAACTTTTTTTTTATTTCCATTTATCTTTCATCTTATACAACTTTTTTATTTCCATTTATGTTTTAATCATATATAACATTCATTTCCATTTATCTTTTAATCTTATATAACTTTCAGTTCCATTTATATTTTAATATGATATAACAATTATGGTTTACATTTATCTTTTAATCTGATATAGCTTTTATTATTTCCATTTGTGTTTTAATCTTATATAACTTTCTTATCCATTTATATTTTAGTATGATATAACAATTATGATTTACATTTATCTTTTAATCTGATATAACTTTTATTATTTCCATTTGTGTTTTAATCTTATATAACTTTCTTATCCATTTATATTTTAATATCATATAACAATTATGATTTACATTTATCTTTCAATCTGATATAACGTTTATTTCCATTTATCTTTCAATCTGATATAACGTTTATTTCCATTTAACTTTTAATCTTATATAGCGTTTTTGTTTCCATTTATATCTCAATCTTATATAACCTTCATTTCCATTTATCTTTTCTTCGTCTTCCGGTGGCTCAGGGCAAGTCTAAGGGCTTATAACGCTAAAAATCAGGTTTTGATACCTTGTTGTGTAGCTTTGCGCTTAACACCAAACAAAAACATTTCCTTCTTATCAAAAGCTTGTTAGTCTTGAAATATTCAATATGTAAACCATAAACGCTTAATTGTTAGTGAACTTGATGTCATAAAGAGTTAAAGTGCATTACTACTGAAACCAAAGTTTAAATAAAATCTTTGTTTTGTGAGTATACCGAATCTTAGCATTGTGTAGAAATATTGACATGTAAAGATGAGAATGAAGTAACAAATATTAACTCAATTCTAGTAAATTAAATATTTAACTTTTTCAGTGTAAGTTATTCACCTAACGACACGATAATTACATAGTTTTTAAAGATTAATAAAATTATATAAATCAATTACAACAGTTGAAAGCTAGTAAAAAAGTACAAATGTGGAATAGAAATATATACAGATATCGTAATAGTTGGAGGACTTTTAGATAGATAGATATATATAAACACTTTATTAATTCCATCCCTCAAAAGAAACAAAAGCATGATACTTCGTGTCCTATGTG